CTGCTTCAACCCTCTACACTTTGATAGTACCTCCTCTATTAAGAGTGTCAGTGCTATGCTTGGGTTACTCCTTTCTGCATTATGATCTGAAAGGTGCCCCCGGGAGGAAGCTGAGTCAATTGTAGGTATAGATCCTTTGTTTCCATTCTCCTAAGGATCACAATCCTGCGTTGCTTGTTGTCCAAAATTTAAAAACAGTTGTTTCATACATTTATTTATTTTTCAGTTTTCTGGTTGTCAACAGTGGCAAGGCAAGCACAGTTGCAGTATCCCTCATCGCTGGAAACATATGTTTATTGTAAATGCCGTGCCTTGACATTTTGATAAAAAATACTTCAACAGAAATTATGCACTTGGCTATTAAAAATTAAATTGGGCCAAATAAGCTATCCATATCAACTCTCTCAAGAAAGTAGGAAACTGCCCAAACCCAATTCCACCCACCTCAAAATAGACATTTACCTCATATACTCAATCATTATTTCTTAGGTAAAATCTAATACTATTGGTCTTGTCAACCATATAGTTAAACTGATCAGTAGTATATCTGAACTAATTTTGCTGCCTAGCAGTGACACTGAACAGTGGTCCTACTAAAACTCAGGGAATTTCATGACAGTCAGACCCCAAAATGACTCTTGACCACCTGGAAAGTTCCCCAGGCTGTCAGGACAAGGTAAAGGAAACCTGGTCACAACGACATGATATCTGGGAGAAGTCTCCTCATCTTAGCCGGCCTCTGTGGGAAGGCATGACTAGGGCCTGGCACACCGTATGCCAGCCTGCCTAACTGTCAAATCCCGCACTAGTTCTGTTTATTGGGTCTGCTCAGCATGGGCCTACCTCTATGTGCTTTTCTCAGGGATACACATTTCCATGACCATTGTTTTGGACGTCAGAGGATAAATGGTAGTGCTCCGACACATTTCTGTTAGGCACTCTTATGAAAAGACACCTTAAGATAACTGTACTGAATTATATCATTTCAAACATCAGGGCTCTGAATACTCCTATGCTTCTTTTTAATATTGCTGTGTTAACTCCTCCCTCTCTTAGGAAGACGCAGTAAATTCTTGATAGTTTTAAAAATGGAGCACTAAGTTCAGAATAACCCCGTTCTTTACTTATCAGAATAAGGAGTTAGGGACCAGGAAAAAAATCGTGGGAATGAGAGAAGGAAGGCTGCATCCATTCTTTCTTTAGCCAAGCCTCACCTGGCCCCCACTGAACTTGTACCATCTCTTCCAGAGGCCACCAGAAAGGGGCAGAGCTGCGGTCACTTCTGTGGATAAAGGATTAATTTGGAAAAACCCAAGTTCTGTGGCATTTTAGAAAATGGATGTAGCTCATAATTTTTTTTCTAATTCATATCAGAAAAGGTAATAGATAATCATCTTTTGTTTTCTTTTAAATATATCTTTATTGATTTCAGAGAGACAAAGAAGAGGGAGAGAGAGATAGAAACATCAATGATTAGAGAGTCATTGATCGGCTGCCTTCTGCATGCCCCCCACCGGGGATCGAGCCCGCAACCCGGGCCTGTGCCCTGACCGGGAATCGAACCGAGCTCTCCTGGATCCGAGGTTGGTGCTCAACTGCTGAGCCACGCCCCGCCGGGCGAGGTAATCATCTTTTGAAGGGAGCATTTGTTAGGCACAAGACCTTCACCTGTCCCTTTTACCATTACTGCCAGCTAATGGCAGACCCAACTGTTACCTGAGAATGGGAACATAACAATATAAAGCTCCGGTAGCTCTCATAACAATTATAACTAAGTAGAGAACACACATGTTTAGCCCCTGGGAATGAAGGGCACTGTTTAAAGGCGGGGCTTTAAAGTCATTGGGTATGTCCTTCACACTTTCAGGGTGCAGATCCCCCATTTGTTTCTGCTTCACCCTGTGACAGCTGCCTAAGATCTCAACATTTCCAAGAGTTAGCACAATGAACTGAGCAGTCATAATACATGAGAGCAACTCTCACCGTGGAACATTCTAAAATCAAGTGTCTGGAACACTCTAGAATCTCACCCTGGAACAGTCTAGAATTATCAGTGCATGCCTCTGGCCCATACCAATGAAGTCAGACTATGACAGTGGTTGGTGCTTGGCTATCTATATATTTGTTAAAGGCCTCAAGTGATTCTATTAGGTAGCTATGACTAAGGACCATTCTCTTAATACCTATAGTTGACGTGAAACTGGACAGCAGAGGACATAAAGGGTTTTCTTGACCCTCTGCTTAGGATCCTTTTGCCTCTCTTGGCATTGTTTTTGCCCTATTAAAATCTACCCAACAGGCTGTGTCTGTATCAAATTTCTTTTCTTGAGAATAATCCATCAGTTCTGGAAACGAAATGCTCAAACAGGACATGATCTATAGTCTAGGACTTTCCAGTGATTTAATTATCTAATTACTGGAACCAGCTGCCAAGCACAAAAGATTTCATTCAGCTTCACTATTTTATAACACAGTTCAAAGAACACTTGAATTTCTAATTCAATTTTTGTTCTTTTGAGACTATTCTATAGAGTTTCATGTATCTCTAATGATAGCTCCATTATTGGACTTATAATCACTTTGGGGCTGTACTTCATTCTTGGAGTATAGAACACATACGCTGAAGGAGACCTGGTGTCGGGACGGCTTAATTATTCTGAACTCTTTTTGCTTTACATAGACTCCCCTGACTGAAAAGACAGAGGTTGGACGGGAAGGAAAGCTGACGGACACACAGAGGATACAAAAACCGAGGTAGAAGCAACAGCAGCCAGGTTAGGAGATAAAGTGCTTATCTCTCCTCATATGTCTGCTCTTTAGAACTGCAAACACTTCTAAGCTCAAGAGCATGTCTGCTCACTGTTCCTTACACGCCCAAAGCCAGAAAGGCTGAGCAGTTCTGGGCAGTAAAGGAACTCGTGTGGTTAAGACCGCATTCCCAGACCTTGACTGGAGGGCTGCTTTGTTTGAGAAGCTGTAATTCTGCAATTGAGCTTCCACAGTTCAAGGGTTGCAAGGAGTGGCAAACTGTGGGAGACTCCTCCCAGCCAGCCAGAGGACCAAACAATGCCAGCCACCAACAGGGTGATGTCACAGCCACACACATCACAATCTTGGTATCAAATTTGCCATACTTCAGCGATGTTTATGCTACAGCAATTCCACCCCTGCCCTCAAACCAACAAATATCCACTTTTGAAAGCAGTAGATATTACCATACAAACAATACATTTAGGACCTTTTTTCTTGTGTGTCCACTGAGGAGAGACAATTTCCAAATGGCCAGCAGGTGGTGCTAAAAGGAAGGAGCAGTGTGAGAGGGGCTTGCCCTCCATAAGCACCTGGGAGAGGGAAGACCCTCTGTCCTGCACATGTGTTGCTTGGCTTGCAGAGTACTAAATAATTGGCTTTTAATTATTTTCCAACATTTTAAAAATGAATATAGATATTTCATAAAAACCTGTATTTCCTGATTCTCTTGAAATGCTGAAATGTCTAGGAACACTGACTGTAATGGCCTTCAGGTTAAGAGCTGGCTAGAATTGACTGCTGACTGCTCTTTAGAGGGATCACCTTGCCATTGTCCCTCCTCCACTTCACTTGTTAAATTACCACCTGGACACTGTGGGCAATGGACTTTGCCATTCGGCACACACCCTCAGCCCAACCCATACACTTCATTTCACTGCAAAGTGTCTTTAAAAATTGTAAAACAAGGACAAGCTAATGCAAAGGATGGGGAACTTCACAGATGACATAACTCATAAAAGTACGTAAATGAATTTGCATGGGACATCCAAGGTGCCTGGGACGTTGCCTGAGGGACAGAGTCGCCTTGGAGACCTGAGCACTGAGCCATGGGCCATGTTTTCAGGTGTATCACACCTTAAAATCCACGACAGGGTCTCTCAAGGCAGCTGCCTTTTGGTTTATTCTCTGGCAGGTAGAGTAAGGGGAGATTGTCTTCTTGGCGTAATGAAGCGGTGAAAAATGTAGGGCTTGTGCATCGGCGAGCTGAGGGAAGAAAGGGCTGAGGTCTTAAGTTTTTTCCTTATTGGACTTCCCTGGCTGAAAAGGCGACACCCCGCTGGCTGCCGTGGATGCTACACCTGTGTGGCTGCTCTAGGCTCCTGGGTGGGCCTGCCTTTTACCAATGTTGAACTATGAGCTCCTCAAAGTTAAGGAGGCTGCCCTCTAGCCTCAGTGATCAACCTCCTACAAAAGGCAGGAGGCCTGAGGGTGATACACAAAGCAGACACCTGATCTCACTAAGAGAGGCCCCTCCCCAGCTCCTCAGTCCCCACCACCAGGAGATACATTATTCCCTTCGTTGGATTTATGGGATTGGCTCACCAAGATTCGTGACACAAAGGGTCATTTTCCCTCCCTTTTGGTTCCCATATAGTGCATATATTTCTTAACAATGGAAAAAGGGAAGGAAAATATTAAGGAACATACTATCCAGATAGAATGCAGATGTTTTCCTCAACAAAATCATCCACGATGGCTTCTTTTCCTTATGAATTAGTCATCTAGTTTAAACTCATATTTCTAAATATACTGTAGTTACTTGTAAAAAACAAAAGCTTAGCTGGCTGTCCCACCATTGTGCCTGCTCGCTGGGGAGAAGCAAGCGGCCGAAACACTAAACAGGAAGCCTTAACTGGCTCTTACTATGCTCCACGGGGCTCCTTTGCTTTCAGCTCTCCTCGGAAAAACAGATGTTTAATGGGTTTTTCATGTGTAAAGGCACGCATAGCTTAAAGAAGTGGTTCTACATGGACCACGGCTGCAGTGGAAGGCTCTAGACCCACATTATGTGTGTGAGGGAGGAAACCATGCCCTTAAGGCTCTGCTAGCCAGGTGTCAGTTCACCCTTAGGAAAGGATGGTGGGGAGAACCCTGGGAAGGTGCTGTGGGGCTAGGGGTGTGGGAGAGGAGAAAGCTGACTTTGGGCAAATAAGACAGAAGACATCGTCGGGACGCAACACCGTGTGTACCTGGAGCTGTCGCATCTGCTGCAGCTGGAGCCTGAGCTCGGCCACATTCCGCCTCATGTCGAGCAGGCTCATGTGGACGGCCGAGGTGCTGGCAGGGAGGGGCTGGCTGGGTGGCCCCTCCAGGGCGCTGAGAGTCTTCCCACCAGAAACAAGGGGAGTTCCTATGAGAAAAGAGCAGCAAAGAACCTAAGAAAGCCAGAAAGGAAAGTCTAAGTTAAGTCCCACCCCAACATAGACGACTTGGTAACTCTAAACATGCCCATTTCCTTCATTGTGAAAATTAAAAAAAAAAAAATTATGCTAGTTCTCTACAGGCAAAAATATGGAATCAAGTTTAAATAAATTAAGGAACCATCACGCAACATTGCAGCATGCAGTTTGTAAAAATCTTGTTCTAGAAGTTTAGTGCCAAAGGGAGGCAGGTCAGTGCAGTGTGTGAAGCAGGATGCTAATTAAGGAACCTGTCTGTCTGTCTACATATCTCCTTTAGATGTACACAGGTTTGCAGAGAAAAGTCAGATGTATCTATAACAAAGTATCAACAGTGTCTGTCTCTGACTGTTGGTATTCGATGTGTTTTATACATTTTTTGTATTATTACCTTTTCTATTTTTAAATCTGCACAGTGAATATCTGTGATTTTATAACAGAAAAATAATTTTTAAATTCTGGGACCTAACACAGGTGATTCCATGGCTATTTCCTGCAGGCAGATGTACCCCAAGAACATGGACTTAGTTCTGAGCAGAGGTTGGGCTGATCACCACAGGAAACTAATAAGAACCGAGTTTCTTCTGAATCTTAGCTTTCCAGACCAAAAGAAGCAGGACCTCTGCTCCATCTCCTTTAGTGAGAAAACCAGGTGTGAAGTGAGAATTCTTTAGGAGAGGAATCCAGGCAGCAGGAAGAAACCCTTCCTAAATAGTTTCTAGCTGCCATACTCTGGCTCCTTGAGTCCAACTTAAATAAGCCTCATTCATTTTACAAGTTCATCTGGGAAGGGCCTGCTTTGATCAAGTTTGCTTAAAAAGGATCCCAAGTAGCACTTACAGGATGATCAAGATACAGGAATCAAAAGGAAGTGCTATTTTTTTTAGAACAACCCAGTTGTATGGAACAAGCCAGCAGAGTAAAATCCCGCCCCCCTCCCCGCCCCTCCCCACTTCCGAAGGGGCTGTTAAACTCTTTCCCGTGAAGCCCACAGTGGAGGGTGTGCAGCGGGCTGGGCTGGCCTCGCATACCCTGGAGTGGTTACAGGGTGGTGGTCTCTCTTCCCATCTCCGCTCAGCACCCAGGGGAACCCTTCCTTTCCCAGCGCCCGCAGGGCTGCTGCCATGGGCGACAGGTGGGGTGCCAGTGAGCGAGGGAGGGCCTCACGCTGTCCGCTTCATGCTTGGCCTCAGCAACACCAGTGGGGAGCTGACTGCACACACCCTGATAGAATCGTCTCTGGGCCTCTCATGGGCCCCTTCGGGAAGACAGGGGAGCAGACCAGAAAGCATTTTAAGGATTTCCATAGGAAGCCAGCGGAGCAGACAGTGAGTTTTTGTTCTTTTATGAGCCTAACAAGCCGCTACCACCATCACTGTGGCTCTGACCAACTTTTGGCAGTCTCCCGGCCCCTAATCAAAATCACCCCCGTAAAAGCAACATTTGCCACATCTGTAACTGCTCCAATGACTATCCTCCGACGGTAAAGGGTTTCAGTAAGACATCCCGTAACACTTCCAATAACAACAGCATGTCAGAATTAACAGTACCTTCAAGATCAAGTATTCAGAGGGAATCATAATAAATAGGAAGTTTTCCCTTTAGAATCAGTCAAGCTACTTTGTCATCACTAAATCCCTCCTTCTCTTTATATTCTGAGGGCACCGGGGGCCTCACTGACCTCCTGCGTAGAGGAGAGGCCTGAATGTACATACTGTCTGTTAAAATTGAAGCTGATAACTGGTTTAAAAAATATCTTTCCCAATAAAATTCCTTTATGGAATCTATACTCATCCCTAAAAATTTCTTCATCTATAACTTTTTAATCCACTAAATTGGTTCCTAACTCCAGCACTCATTGAAATGGCTCTTTATAAGGCGGCAATGGTCAGCTGTCCCCCCGATACGCATCTCCTCGCTGTGACGCTGGGCACTGTTAGTCACTTCTTCCCTTGTTAGTCAATTTGAATTTTCCTGTCCCTTGTCTTCTTACCTCTTTGCTACTCCATCTTGGTCAATTTCTTTTCTAATTTCTTCCTTGGCCAACTTTAAAAACCCTGGCCTGTTCTCTCACTGGACATGCTTTCCAGGGAGGCCACTTTCACCACCACCACCTGCTGAGGTCCCCTGCATGTCTGTCTCCAGCATACAACTCTCTTCAGAGCCACATACTAGTACCTTCATGTTGCTACAGGACTTTTCATCTTCCCAGGCCTCTTTTTGTCTCTGTAGGTCTGTTCTTAGCCACTGGCACTATTATATACTCAATTATTTAAATCAGAAGCCTGGAAATCATTCTTAGTATCCACTTCCTAGTTGTGTGACCTTGGCAGAATAACAACCTCTCTCACTCTCAGTTTCCTCATCTGTAAAATGGGTGTAAAGATTATTGAGGGAGATAATGGCATTTACATGTGTAAACTGCTTAGCTTGGTGTCTGGCACAGAGGGGGCCCCCACTGCAATCAGCTGTGGTTATTATTTCTTTGTGCAGAGTAGGCAGGAGGAGCCTCTGCCAGCGTCCCCTCCTCACCTGGAGTGTCAGCAGGTGCAGAAGGCTGGGGATGGTAGCAGTAGGCTGAGATCTATAGGCAGGTGCCCTGAAATCCATGCATGAGGCTGGATCTGATCAGTAGGGACCCCAAGTGATAAACAAGTTCCCCTTCAGATTAGGTTCAGAGGACCTGGGATCTGCTCTCCACACCCACACGCAGGTGGTCACATTCTGCTCCCAACATGCACAATGAATGAGTCACTCTTTTCTGTGCACTTCACCCTTTCCAAACTATGGCCTCTCTTTCTCCTAGCAAATCACTGTTGGGTAATTTACTTCAGTCGAGTGTCTCTCACTATGAAATTTATTACATGCAAATGTGATGCAAACTTAATGTATTCTGTTGTGATAGAAAGAACATGGGTTTGGCCAGACTGGCTGTGACTCTTGCTGGCTGTAAGCAACATCTTCCTTACAGGGTTGTGTGTGTTAAATGATATAATACACAGTATAAAATACATGGCATGCCTTTGCAATGGTGGTTCCTTGTTCACTTATATCCACAGAATCAAATATTCCTAAAGTGACAGGAAGTCTGGGTTTTCCTTTTCATTTACCCCTGGACAAATGAACTCCTTGACTTCTATATAATTTCATGTACTTGTCTACAGAACAGACAAAATATTTCTTGTCTTACAGCTTACTTCCTTGGGTTCTGGAAGAATTAATATGTTTTGTGCACTGTACAAGGCTGCTATGGCAACGAAGGCCCTGTGGACCATATCTAGCCCTGACACATTAGAATGAAAAAGACCAAACTCAGCAGAGACATGGGAGAGCAAACACACATGCCTGTTGCTGGTGGCACTGTAAATTGGCTCAGCCTCTCAGAAGAGAAAACTGGTGGTGTGTTGCCAGAGATACTCAACTCTTCGTCCCTTTGGACTTATTGATTCCACTTTGGGAAATGCATCCCAAGGAAATTACACCTGCTCCTTCCCCCATGCTCCAAAAAAGACATTTACAAAGTTATTTAAAACAAAGGAGTGAAAAAACCTATATATCTTTAAATGGACTGGAGCACCTTAACACAAAAATAGGAGAAAAAAATAACAGGTGGGTGGAGCATGTGGATGTGTCACATGTGTGGAGGTGTGTTCAGTCTTCTCTGGAACATGGTAATAATGAGGATGTGCCAGGAGTTAATGAGCTCATGTATGAAGAGCACCCAGAACAGTGCCTGGCACAGTGGAAACACTCACTAACTGTTTCTCATTATAATGATGGTGATGATGCCACCAAAAGTGACAGGAATAAAAGAATACAAAGCAGCATGTACATATTGATTAAATAATGGTATCAGGTACTAATCACTGCTGGACTAGAATCCAGAGGAATGGAAGGTGTTAGTGCTCAGTGGTTTCCTTCTATTCCCTCCACTTTATTGAGATGCAACGGACACATACCGTTGTGCAACTTTAAAGTGTGGAGCATGTTGATTTGATACACTTATCTACTGCAACATGATTACCCCTGTGGTGTCAGCTAAGGCGCCCCTCATGTCACATAATTATCATTTCTTTTTTGTGCTGAGAGCATTTAAGATCTACTCTCTTGGCAACTTTCAAGTACATAGTTTGGTATTTTTCTTTTTTATTGAATTTATTGGGGTGACGTTGGTGAATAAGATTATATAGGTTTCAGGTGTACAATTCTAGAATACATCATGTGTATATTGTATTGTGTGTTCACCACCCAAGTCAGGTCTCCTCCATCACTATTTATCCCCTTCTACCCTCTTCTCCCTCCCCCACCCCTTTCCCTATGCTAATCACCTCACTGTTCTCTGTTGTCTATGTTTTTTTTCTTAATCCCTTCACATTTTTCAGCCAGCACCTCCACCCCCCCCCC